CTACTTAAGGCTGCTGATTCACATGAAACTCTTGCTGAAATACAGTGAATAAGCACTTTAAGCATGAATATATGACTTCATCTCCCTCATCTGGAAGGAGGAGAGCATACCAGGTGAGGTCTGAGACTTCAAGCAAGGAGATGAGACCAATTACAATAACTGTAGAAGAACTTCCCTACTGTCTGCTAGGGAAGATTATTGCAAGTATTCTCCTCAATCACCACCTCTCAATTACCAAAGAGTCTCTCCCAGAATTATAGTACAGATTCCGACCATCAAGTGACACAGTGGACAGATATTCACAGCAAGGTAAGTCCAGAGAGCAGTAGCAATCTCTGTACATGGTCTTCTTTGATTTCACAAAGGACTTCAACTCTGTCAACTGGTTGTGATTGTGGAATATTGCCCTCAAATTTGTCACCATCCTCCACTTGCTGCAAAACGACTTGCAGGTCATGATCCCCATGAATAGACCCACCACAGACAAACAAACCAGTGGAAACGGGAGTTGGGCAAGGCTGTGTCATCCCATCAATGCTCTTCATCTTCCTCACTGTAACATTCTACCACAAATCCATGAAGCCCTTCACTGGTGCAGAGCTTTGCCGCAGAATGAGCGGTAAACTATTTAACCTAAGTTGTGTCTAGTCCAGAACCAAGACCTCCCCAACTTCTGTCATTAAGTTACAGAATGCAGTTGACATTTGCGTGTGCTGACAGAGACTGAACTCAAGTCATTTTTGATATATTCACAGCCATATGAAAGAATTCGTCTTGAGCTAACCATCCAGAACACCTACGTATATTAATAGGTTGTTTACCAGCTTGCTACCACTTCACAGCACTGCAGCTCATCTGCCATCTTTGCTGCTGATAAAATAGCATGACAGCAGAAGACATCAGACATGTTCCTGATCTACTCCTGCACCATTTGTCCAGCCGTCCAACCTTTCACTGAAGGACTGGTAAAATTCTGTCCAATCTTTTGGGTTTGTGATTTTTCAATGAGTTTTGTCTGTAATTTATTCTTGAGGCTCAGCACCACTGCCTCTGAACCAGAGCTTGAGGTTCCAGCACTTAACTATTGAGTGAAGCAGTTGAAACAGATTATCCCAATCTGCTAATCCTTCCAATAAGTGCCCACTATTTCCCAACTCTAAGGCATTGTGTATGAAGATACGAAATGAACAAACATCCATTTTACAAAAAAAATTCTTGCGTGGAATTGTACTTCGTAGATTTTTATTGTAGAATTTACAGTTTCAAAGCTTGTATTTTGTGATAGACCCTAATTACAAAGGAAAATTTACATGCCTAGTTTCTAATGAAACTAAGACTGAAACAAAGACTGGAAACTAAATTGAATGATTTGAAACTCTACAGTTGTACAGGCAGGCTGAAGAAAACAGAGGCTTGATTCAAAAGCTAAATTTAGAAGCAAAGATAATAGTTGGTATGCCAGTTTCTGTCACTTAAAATTGGGGGATCTACACCATCCAGACTAGCTTAAGCAAGGTTGTTGAGGTTCTGCAAAGATATGCCCTTTTGAAGAAGATGATTCCTATGTAACACAAGTTGGCTGTAAACAGCTTTTTTTTTGTTGGGAAGAGTTTTGAAGGATTTTGTGACTGAGTTTGGCATAAGTGTGGGTTGTCAGGCCAATTTGTAAGATCTATCTTTGCTATATCTGTAAATTAATGCGTAATTTATAGTTTTAAAATCACTGACGATAATGTAGGGTCGTAGGAGCATAAATAGTTCATCCTTGAGCCTACTCCACCATTTTCAATGATTGTTGATCATCTACTTCAATTCCATATTCATGCGCTGTTCCCATATCCATTTGTTATTATCAATTAATGCCTTGAATTTATTGACTGAGCATCCACAGCCCACTGGGGTAGAGAATTCCAATGGTTCACCACTCTGATGAAATTCCTCCTCCTGTCAAATAGCTTGCTTTTATTCTGAGACTCTGTTCCCTAGTTCTAGAACCCATAGTCAGGGGAAGCATCCTTTCTGCTTCTACTCCTTTCAAAAAAAAATTCAGCATGTTTCTCTGAAATTGCTCCTCACTCGTCAAACTAGAGAATGCAGGCTCACTCTTCTTGACCAGACAGTCCCGCCATCCTAGGAAGCGGTCTGGTGGACCTATGTGTGCCTTTTAATTGTTGTAATTGTACTAGTCTCCACCACTACTTCTGGCAGCTCATTCCATACACGTATCACCCTCTGTGAAAAGGTTGCCCCTTAGGTCACTTTTAAATCTTTCCCCTCACACCTTAAACCTATGCCCTCTAGTTTTGGACTCCCTTACCCTGGGGGAAGGACCTTGGCTGTTCACCCTACCCATATCCCTCCTAAATTTATAAATCTCTATAAGATCATCTCAGTCTCAAACTCCAGAGAAAACAATCGCAGCTTATTCAGCCTCTCCCTGTAGCTCAAACCCTTCAATCCTGGCAAAACCCTTTTAAATCTTTTTAGAACCCTTTCAAGTTTCACAACATCTTTCCTATAGCAGGGAGACCAGAATTAAATACAGTATTCCAAAAATGGCCCAACCAATGTCCTGTACAGCCACAACATGACCTCCCAATTCCTATACTCAATACAACGACCAATAAATGCAAGTATACCATATGCCTCCTTCACTATTCTGCCTACTTGCAACTTTTGAGAAGACTGTACAAGCTCAATCTTTGCCATGATCTTATTTGATAGACCATTCATCTTTTAGAGAATAGGATTGTGAAACAATCAGTGGTAAGAAAATAAGATATGGATGTCTGTGGTTGAATTGTAACAGCAAAATAAATAATCTTTTATTATACAAACATAAACAAAATGAACATAAGCACTAATAACTAATACATATACTGAGTAGGGAATGTAAATGTTGTTGAAAGCGACACAGACTGTTTACTAAATGGCTGATGTGGTCCAGACACATTCCACCAAAATGTTAATGACTTCATCAGCAAATTTCATTAAAATTCTTCCTTTCACTATGGATTCAAATGCTTCACTTGTGAAGATATGGTTTGGAACACCCTCAAAGCCCCTCCTTCTGATTGCTTCAATGACTGCTCATGTCTTCGTGGAGATGGAGATTTAACTACTATCTAGTCACTTGCCCACAACCAGCAGCAACAGTCACCACCACCACCACCATCATCATCATCATCATCATCATGCATGCCACATTCTCTTAACTACTATCAGATCAGAAGGAGGGTCACTTGATTTAAAACATTAATAATGCTTTCTCTCCACTGAGATTCTTCAGCAATTTCTGTTTTTGCTTAAGGTATTTCAGTTGAATTTACCCTATTTTCTATTGTTAAACTTAAATTTCTCAAACTAAAAATAATATGCTTATGGACCATGAACAAAATATTCACATGAATTGATTTTAATGGCCACAAAAGACGATGTAAGCATGGTACATTGGATTTTTAAAAATTAGATTAACTTAATTTCCAATTTTAAGAAAAAGTTTTTAAGAAACTAGATCAGCTCACTTCGTTTTTTTTTGCTGTTTGTGTTCTCTGGGTTTTAAATCTATGTTTGTGATTGAATGCTTCCTTCACCTGCTGGTGGGATGCAATACATTTCAAGTACATCTTACTGCTGGGCATTCATTTGAAATTGTGAATCAAAACCGGTTCACTGACAATGCTGGAGTTCTAATCCCTCTGTGTTTTCAGATCAGTTTTGGACTAATATTTGACATGACTGCTTTTTTTTTCCATAAATATAATGCTTTCAATTCTAACTGTGTTTGTTTTTAATTATCTATCTCTACTAAAATAACAGAAGTTGGATTTATGCAGTATGTTATTATATCATCTGAATGTTCCCAGGTGCTCCAAATCCAGTAAACTATTTTTGAATTGTAGTCACTGTTGTAATGTAGCCCAGCAGAACAGGTAATCTGTACGCAACATGGGGCAATAAAAGTGAGATAAATCACCTGTTAGCAATATTAGTTAAAGAATACTGGTTTTCCAGAGAATCCTGCAGTTCCTCAGCTCCCTCTTCCAATAGTGCTTTGGATTCTATTATTTTCACCAGCAAGGAAAGATTCTGAATGCCATATTGAAAAGTTCACCTCCAATTATGCAACATTCCTTCTGTACTTCACTGTAATGTCAGCCTACATTATTATTCTAAAGTAGTGCTTGACATTTCTTTTTCAAAGACTGAAGTGTTACTGACCCAAGAAAATCTGAAAATAAAAACGCTGAACTATTGTATTTCTATTCCAATTGTTAATTTTGCTTGAAATTGTTCGTGTGTATATTGAGATAACAAGGTGTAGAGCTGGATGAACACAGCAGGCCAAGCAGCATCAGAGGAGCAGGAAAGCTGACGTTTCGGGCCGAGACCCTTCTTCAGAAAATCCATTTTCTGAAGGGTCTAGGCCCGAAACGTCAGCTTTCCTGCTCCTCTGATGCTGCTTGGCCTGCTGTGTTCATCCAGCTCTACACCTTGTTATCTCAGATTCTCCAGCATCTTAAGTTCCTACTATCGAAGTGCGTATATTGATGTGTGAATACTGGGGAAAAGTATTAGGATGAAAATATTTCTGTTGATGATACATGCTCATCAGTTAACTCAGCACAGCACTGTACTGTTTAATATTTCCATTCATTCTGTTGGCAGAAAACCTAAAAGATGTTTGCAGAAGTTAATGGCCAGTGTTTCCTTTAGCACTTTGCCTCAATTAATAATCTAGTGTGTGTTAATCTAAAGCCCATCATGACAGTTAAAGAACTAGTATTTACTTAAAAGTAAGAAGCTGGTATTCATGAAGATTCAACCCATTGACTAATGTCCTGCAGGAAAGGAAGCCTGCTGCTCTTGCCTTGGTGGCTGTCTATAATTCAAATATAGTTGCCATACAACTATATCTCGAACCCATTAAAAACTTTAATTAGTTACCAATTAAATTTACAATTGTAATCCATGTTTCTCTAAATAATGCTTCATTAAAGCTTCATAGTAGCGTGTTGATACAATTTATTGATACAAGTGTTTTATTTTGCTTTTCTAAACATAAACTTAGGACAATCCTTAAAGAAAGTGGATTTGCTCGTTATCTACATTCAGCGGTCATCATCAGTGGGGCTATGCTCATTTTTGGCGGGAACACCCATAATGACACATCTCTGAGCCATGGAGCAAAATGTTTCTCTGCTGATTTCCTAGCATACGATATTGGTATGTAATAGAACTATCCTTTGGAATTCAAAACTTCATTCCTTTATATTAATTCCCTTGACTCATTCACCCTCTCTCATTTTCATTTTCTTTCTTTCTCTCTTTTTCTTTCTCATTCTCTCTTATGAACATCTGTATCTATTTCTTCTCTCTTCCCTCCCTTCCTGCCATTTGTTTGGTTCTTTCTGTGCATACTGAATTGTTCAGGTGGCAAGTTACTGAAGCAAAAAAAAAATGTTAGCACTCTACTACTTGTACCAACAATTATCTTTCCCCAATCATCATCTTGGATTCCTTTTAATCTGGTCATGTATATGTTCCTCCTTGGCCACGTCATTTCAAAACCGTATCAGCTGCTACATGTACAATGGTGTGACCCAATGCAAGGATGAACAGAATTTTCCATAAAATAAATATTTGGAAGGCTCCAGCTGTTCTTGCCACATAAATAACTTTTTTAATGTTTGCTCATTAATGTAATGAGGATGTCGCTGGTTACGTGAGCATTTATTGCCCATCCTTAACTGTCCAGTGGGCAGGAAACTGTCAAGCTCGCACTTGAAAGCTACCTCTGACTGAGCTTTTGTGATTGGTTCTAATATCTCCTGACCTGATTATGTTAAATTTTATTTTTAAATGCTCCACTACTTTGTTTTATGATGTTTTACTCTGCAAAAGATGTGTAAAAATTGAAGTTGTTGGACACAGTCATTCTGTTTAATTAAAGGTAAAGTTGCAAACCACCTGATTCTATTTAATTAACGTCCATCTGTCATAGATTCTCTGAGAAACAAAAGAGAAATAAATAAACTTATGACCAATGAACAATCATGTGAAAGCTGTGCACCATACAAAACTGGCATTTTTAAAATGACGATGCTAGCTTCTCGATATTGAAAATGTTTTTTTCATATAAATCACCATTAAATGATCTGATACATTTGATGCCGTGTCTGGACTTTCAAAATTCCAAAGTTCCAAAATTGATGGGTATGATTAAGGCACTTTTGCATGGAACCTTCAGTTGTTTAAGTGGTGTTACTTCCAGTGGATGTATTGTTTATTTAAATTTTCATACTTTTGGTCCATTGTATATGTGTCTACTGTGATGCATTTATTTACATTTTCTAAGTACAATTCAAGTTCTCAGCCTTCTGCTGCTGCTACCCATTTCTGGTTATTAAGATTCAAAAAAATGCTTGGAGGGTATATTGATTGACCTGTAAGTTGAAGTTTTCCACTCCTTGAAGGAATCATTCATCACTTGTTCATATTTCTCTTAATCAATAACTTCCCTTGTGCCACTAGTCAATGTAAATCTGATTCTAATGCTTCCAGGAGGAGTTGCATAAGCAGCATGTAATTTCCCAAACTAACTTCTCCTTTTTAGCCCCTTGCTGAGCTTAAGACCCACAGGGTACTGACTGTCCTCTGGTGTCTTGTCTACTTGGTCATTGTGAGTACTGGAATCTCAATAATCTGAAGATGATGGTGCTGTATGCAGCATCATAGTTGAGACCCATTAATGGCCTTGATCAATGTTCTATGCACAATTAATTTGAATATGTAAACTTGGTTGTGTAAACCCTAATGGTTTTTCCTCTCACTAAGGGCCATGGGCAGTTGTGGTCTCCAGACCCTGACCTGGCTGAAATTGGTTAACTCAAGGCAGTTGGAACGATTATATTTAGGAAAAAAGTCATTGTAAGCAAATAATCAAGGGTAGTATTATTCCGTACATTTCTATTTTTTGATTTTTTTTCTTTCTTTCGTTGTGCTCCAGACCTCTCTCCACGTGTACTGCATGCACAAAAAACACATGTACTTGAAGTAATTGATCGACTAGAATGGCATTATTAAATCTACAAACAAACATGTTATGAGGAGAAAAGGAAATTTGAGCACCCAATAATTTGTAGCAATTCTTATATGAAATTGTAAGTGAAGATTTGAATGAATGAAAAAGGAATATCATAAAGTTCATAGCTCTTCGTTGCATTAGGGAAAATTAAAATAATACCTTTTGGAATATTTCTTTTATGTTTTGGGAACTTACTGGTTGTCAAATTAAAATGACTATGTTGTATTTGTTTGTGTAGCTATTGGATTCATAGATATTTTCCAAAATGAACACTTGTAGAATCTGTCAAAGTATTTAATGTGGTCTAATGAAGACTTCCAATGTGGAGAATTTACTTAATGTTGCAACATATACTTTCATATTGAGTTTTAATTGTTAGACGTTAGTGCAATTGTAAAGTTAAAACTAATTACATTTCTCATTTTCAATTTTGAGTATTGAAAAATGTGTTTTAAAAAATGGTGTACACATTGCTTTGGAGAACCTGATGATCCATTTGCATCGAACAATTTTTCAGTTGGTATTACACATTGATGTCAGTTCTTCAAATAGATCACTTTATGAAATTGCTTTCTATTCAAAGTAAGAAGAGAAAAAAATCTGTTTCTTGTCATCTACAAGGCGCAGAGAAATTGTGGAGGAATAAACATACCAGGAAGCTCAGTAACAACAAAATATCCAGTAGTTGTAAATTGACTCAACATGAAGTAGTTGCAGCTGAAAGCCTCCTTAGGAAGCACAGGCGGTGCATAAGAACCAAATTCTATTGTCCTCAATTCCCTTTCCTCCTGATTACAGGGGTGCACTGTTGCTGCACAATGTTGATGTCCTGGGAGACAATCACACTGCCAAAGCAATTGCTGAAGCAGGACTTATGATCTCATGGGGTGGATGGTTGTCCTTGCCCAGTGGCTGTCTACATAACATGGCATTACAATTTATGGAACTGGTTGCTTTCAAGGATCCACTTTGGACCGCTGTGACACATAAATTTATCAAGCTGTGACCAATACAATTTATAGCAAGTCGCATTGCTTCATCTTGTTTCCCCATGATAAGTTCAGTGCTGAAGCTCCAGCAGGAAGCTCTGCCAATATAACTAGCTTCCCACAGATGCAGTCATTATGGACTGCACACGGCATGTTAGGAGTGCCATACTATTAAGACAATTGATTTCGACAGAAAAGGATTCCATTCCGTCAATGTGCAAGTTGATAGAATCAGAATTTACAGTATAGAAAAAGGCTTTTTGACCCATCTTATCTGTACAGGCCCCCAGCTACTCCCATTCTTCAGCCCTATTTCCGTAGCCCTCAACTCATCACTCATAAACATATGTTTCTCAGAAATTTTGGATGCATCCCATCTGGGCCTAGCAACTTCTCTACGTGGAATGCTACCAGTCTTTTTAACACCTCTTCTTTATCACCGTAATGCTCAGTTGCTCAACTAGGCCATTGTCATCATTTTAAAAATTGGTAAATCCAGAAGCAAAATACTCATTTAGTACCTCTGTGATATTTTTTGCTTCAGTGAGCAGCTTCCCCTGCTTGTTCTTTATGGGTCCCACTATCCTTCGTTAATCCTTACTTTTAAAGAACATTTTGCAGTTCGTTTTGCTGCCATCCTTTCCTCATGCTTTCTCTTAGCCCTCCTTATTCCAGCCTTAGCTCCTCTCTCCTGCATTTGAGATACTCTTACTGATTTCTATTGCTATTACTATTCTGGGATGTAACATTTGCCTCCTTTTCATCCTTATTTTTTCACAAATATCCTTTGTCATCCATTGTACTCTAGCTCTAGATATCTATTTATTTCTCATGTACCGAGTTTGCACCCTTTTTCATCTGTTTTGAAAATCTCCCATTTTTGATATGCCGCTTTATCCACCAAATTGTGTTTCCAATCAACTTGCTCCAGTTCAACTTCTAGACTTGCAAAATCAGCCCTTATCCAGATTGGAGCCTTAATTATTGACTGATTTTTATCCTTTTCCAACTTCATATCGAAGCTTATGTGATATTACCCGAATGCTCCCCCACTCTGACATTCTCAACTTGGCTTACTTCATTTCCTGGGACAACAGGTCTCTCCCTGGTAGGACTGAAAATGTACTGTTCCAGTAAGTTCTCCTGCACACATTACAGGAACTTTTCCCATTCCACGTGGCCTATTTCTCATTCCACCCTAGGGTGAATGAAATCACCAATTATCTTGGTTTCCACCATTTGGTGAAACCAGTGCTGCATGCAGGTAAAGAAGTCTACTTTATCTGTTGTTGCAAATTTTAAAAAAGATCCATTTAGCCATTGATAGTTATAGTTTTAGCAAAGGTTTGTAACTCGGGTTGTGGGTGAGGTCATTGATACTACTGCAGTGTGTTAGTTTGAACACCATGAGGGAATAGTCTCTATGCATGTTCGTAAGGATTAAATTTGGTGCAGTGCATTAATAAATCTAAGTTTTTTTCCTAAACTGAAATTTAAACTTAATCTTAATACTTGTCGTGCAGATCATGCCCCTTAGATATGCTGATGTGTTGACTCTTTCGATCTTGAGCTTGGTTATTGTGATTCATGGCAAAATATTTATTAGCTTTATTTTATTTACATTTTGTTGTATTGTGTAGATTGAGTTCATTGTAAGGTTATGTGTGTTCTTAAATAATATATGCCATTTGAATTTTGTAAAGAAAATGCTCAAATATTAAGTGGTAGCGCAGTATGGAGCTGGAGGAGCACAGCAGGCCAGGCAGCATCAGAGGAGCAAGAAAGTTGATGTTTTGAGTTGGGACCCTTCCTCAGAATTCTGATTTAATACAGATTTCTGAAGAAGGGTTCCGACCTGAAACGTCAACTTTCTTGCTCCTCTGATGCTGCCTGGCCTGCTGTGCTCCTCTAGCTCTACACTGTGTTATCTCTGACTCCAGCATCGGCAGTTCTTACTATCTCTGATCAAATATTTAAGTGTGCTAGCATACTTCAATTTTTCATTTGGATAAAATTCTTTTAAAGCCTTGATTTCATCTGAAGTGCATGATTTCAATTATTAATAATGTTTTGACGCTTCTAACTCAATGTTAGTTTATCATCTATGATGAGTTGCAGGATCTTCACAGGTGTGCATGTTATAAAGTTAA